GTGAGGTACTGCTAACCAGTTATCCCAGAGCTACCAAACAAACAAACTAAAAGCTGAACCCCTGTGACGTGTGCAAGCATGGGGACCTATGCATATCTCAGACAGCTGCACAGTAGCTCGCGCCACAGCCAGCGACGAAACTACCTCCTACCCAAGGCCAAACAGGAGTAAGAACCACCCCAGCTGAACCCCAAGGGTGGGCAATCACCGAGCAGCAACAGAACCTTGAGGAGGTAGTTCCCGAATGGCTCAGGGAAGATAACCCTAGGGCGCAGGGGCAGTACTTATAGGACACCTAGGGAAGGTAGCCAAGGTACTATTGTGTAACTCCTGGCTCGCACACCACCAACACAGCAACAACACCGCTAAGCAGGACTGCGCAAAGAGTGGAGCCAGAGCGATCGACCGTCACCATCACAACAGCCTCTTGAACTGAGGAGATTTGCCAGCGTGAAGGTCAGGGGAACCCTCGTTCCCCTGCCATGGAGGGGGGGAGGGGGGGATTTGCACAGGCAGATGCACGAGGGTTGTTGTGACATGTTTGTTTCCTAGTTTTTGATTGGGGAGTTCTGTTTGCTAGTTTGGCTTTCGGTTTGCAATTTTTGACCAGCAGTAGTTTGTTTTGGAATTCCTACCTTTCTGGGTGTCTGACCTGGTAGATCGCAGACAAAGACTGCTTTCAATTACACGAGGGTGTCTTTAGGGCATTGCTCCTTATACCTCTCATGAGGGGGGCCAGGTTCTGGCTCTGGTCCCCGATAGACCTAGAGCTCCTTAGATTGACTGTTGCAACGGTCTAATATATACACATTAGCCCGGTAAAGCTCCAGGGAGCCGAAGAGGCTCTCCACTCTAAGAGGTATTTTGATGTTCTATATTTTTTTTTATTCCAATGAAAAGTTAGATAAAATGTGGCGTGTGTCCTTCATACACCTATTATTTTTTTATTAATATTAATGTATGTTATAAAATGATATAAACATTTAATAAATTAACATGAAAAACTTGTTTTAATATATAAGGGAACAAATAGTGTTATATAAGCCAATATTAGCTATATCGAAAAAAATATATAATACAATATCTTTGAGTAACTAAATGTTTTAAGAATGTCTCAGACGATTATGAAACAACATTCACAATTCATATATGTAATGTATAGAATTTAATTATTAAACATGAACAAAATATATTTTTTAATATAAAAGAGAAACTAGTGTAAGAAAAGACAGAATTTGCCAAATTACAGTAAGAAATAATTTTACAATTCATGGATTAAATATTGATCATGTGCCTGTTGAACTATACTTGCAACTTTTCTTTCCCACGACTCTATGGAAACGTTATTGAAAGTTGCAACAACGTGTTGTGTTTGCTGGGTGATGACTCTTAATACTGTTTGGCCGCAATGAAAGGCATTGTATCAAGTTATGTATTGAAATCTCTTCTAAAAACCGCAGAGTTCACAATTCTTGTTTGCATACATTTGAGAAAAAATTAATTATTACAAATATATTTTGCATAAATATTTATATTGGTATGATGAATTAACGACAATATAATTGGAACTGATAAGGATATCCAACATATGGGATATTTAGCATGGGGGTTAATGATGTCACCAATAGCAGCATGTGACAATGAAAATGATGTCACATAAAACGCCATTACAGGAAGTATAACTTAAAAAGAATGCAGTTGAGATCTGAATATATTTGTAATTAAATGCATATTTTGCTACTTGCTTGGAGATTTCAATGCTACATGTAATTATGCTCTCACATGTCCAGGATGTTTGCTTTAACATTTTAATATTATTTGAGTAACTGAACCCAGCAACGCCAGATATAATTACGCTGGTGGACAGTATGGGGATTAAGTACTCCGTCATAGACTCTTGCAATGTATGGATTTAGCCAGGGTATATACTGGTAGGCTATTCAACGAATTAAGATTTTATAGTAAAAAAATATTTGGTTTGTGAAGAGTGATAGATTTCTGAATGATTACTCCGTTAAAGCTTTGTGGGTATAAATAGGAGATGCTGTTGTGCACGGGCCTTCTGCGGATTCTTATGGTTTAATAAACAATCTTTGACTATACCCTAAAAATATTAGCAATAAATAATCAATCTTTGGATGGACACCAAAAATATATGTTACAAATTAAATAATCTTTAACTAGTCACTAAAAACATTTGGAAACTAATATGCAATCCTTATCTGCATTCTCTAGATAGGCAAGGAGTTGGGGGGTGAGAAATGCAAGTGGATGAATTGATGCATCTGATTATGGACCAGTAGGGCTTTTGCAGGTTCCTTGCCTTTTATATATGAATGTGTTTGGGTGGATAGAAATAGTGGCTGAAGTTTTCTTAATTCTTAGAGGTGAGATGATTAGGATATATATTTCTATACATTTGAAAGAGTTTAGATGGAAAATAAATATAATATGTAGGTAAAAGTATATTTCTGCTGTTTAATTCTAATGTTCAATCTTTCGATGACCCTTCAAGCTAATATAGTTATGGGGACGTAAGAACGAGACTCTAGGAGCAATTATTCTTTTTCTGAAGGAACAAAAGTCCCGACGAACAATTATAGTTTACTTGGGACAGAAAAACGAATCCAGACAAGCAATCGTTGAAAAAAAAAACAATGTTGATTGCTCGTAGAGCCTTTTTACGCTACTGTTTGTAATTGGGACATGAGGCAGGTGGATGAGGGGAAGACATTAGGCAAGTGGATGAGGGGAAGACATTAGCCAAGTGGATGAGGAAAAGACATGAGTCAGGTGGATGAGAGGAAGACATGAGGCAAGTGGTGTTGGATATTTCCAACATCGAATACAGCATTGTTGTATTCTCATTACTTATTACTAACCATACTAAATATTGTAGTAAGTAAAATTAACAACTCGTAGAATTCTCATGTACTAATAATTCATCTGTGCATTAGGCTAGAATTCTCACGTCACCTGACGCCAGTATTGCGTCAGATTTCCTTACAGTAAACACATTATATCCAATTTGTGTGAGAATTAAATACGATTCTCCATAATTAAAGCATTCTGTATGACAACTGATTGCAGACGAATTGTTCTCTAACTAAAAGCCGAATAGAGCGTTAGAATCATAGCGTCTACCTCGCGATAGAGTTAACGTCATCAATGAATGCCATGGGGAGACATTAATTCCTCTCCCTTATATATTTACTATTCTTAAATTGGTAAATAATAATAATTTGTTCCTCTAAATAATAAACCCGTCCAGTCTTTAACGTTTCAAACGCAAATGCGAGAAATATTAATGTTCGAGACAATAATTTGTTTTATGAACGTCGACTCGGCGTGGGTGAGAGGGACGCCATTCTCCTCAGTACGCGGATACGTGCAGAGCCGAAAGGAAGCAAATCTGCGCTTACCGTACTCATAAGAACACGCCATTGTCCAGCAAATAGGACAGGTGTTATCCATCCACAGATGAAAGCCGCCACTGTGAGGCGTGAATGACCTCGCAGATAATATCTTCAACTAGTGCTGGTGTTAAATAAGGGACCCCTTGATTTGGTTCCTGACGACACGTGATCAGCCAACTTGAAGCGCATCACTATCCAGGATAGGTTCACCGGAGCCTGGGATGCGAAAATACGGCAATCTTAATACTTATACAGTGCCCACAGCTAAGTACTCCTTTATTTGATGCATCATTTACAGGTCTGATAATAGCAGGGTGATTGTTCGTTATGAAGCGAGATAACACCTAATAACAGGTGATTAGCATTTCATCTGTAAATCTTAACATTTTTTAATATAAATTGAGTAGTTAAATCAATTGCTACTGGTAGTTATTTATCTTGCAGCCCGAGAGAAGAATTCCTCATGCTGCCTTCTCCATGTTGAACCGTACCATTCGTCAGTGTACCGGATCTGGAGATTAAGAGGACTTCTATGGTTATCTAAAGGAATCTGCTTCAAGCTAAGATTTATTTCCTTTTTATCCATTCCTTTGCAATTTGATTTATTCAGAATGTTTTGAGATTAATGAATGATTTACTGTAACTCATTATTATGCTCATATTTATATTCCTCTTTATGTGAATGATATTAGTTTAACATTACCTTATAGGATTAGATTATTATTAATTGAATTAGTGAACGAACCACACTAATTCCTGGACGTACTTACCTCCAGTAATAACCCCCCAATGTAGGTGTTTGAGGTTTGTTTCTTTAATAATACAGCCCATTAATTATTATTATGATCATGCTTTCTAGTTATATCCATAGTCACTGGTTTCCTCTAGAAATTATCCAATGATCTGAAATTCTCAGTTTCCCTCTTTACTTTAAAAGCGGGTGGTCCTTCGCAATTTTAATTTATTACATTAATTATTAATTAATCAGAATCAAGCCCAAATATCCCACAAGTGGATGAGGGGAAGACATGAGTCAGGTGGATGAGGGGAAGACATGAGGCAGGAGGATAAGGGAAAGACATGAGGCAGGAGGATAAGGGGAAGACATGAGGCAAGTGACGATGGAAGTAAATGAGGCAGGTGGATGATGGGAGTAAATGTGGCAGGTGATGATGGGAGTAAATGTGGCAGGTGATGATGGGAGTAAATGTGGCAGGTGGATGATGGGAGTAAATGTGGCAGGTGATGATGGGAGTAAATGTGGCAGGTGATGATGGGAGTAAATGAGGCAGGTGGATAAGAGTAAATGAGGCTGGTGATGATGGGAGTAAATGAGGTAAGTGGATGATGGGAGTAAATGAGGCAGGCAAACAGATTGAGGCAAGATGTAGTAATTAATCATAGTCAGGGAGGTAGAGGTAGGCAAACAAAGATGGGGAAGCAGGGGTAGGCATGCAACAGAGGTCGTAGATCAGAGACAGACAAGCAGAGGAAGACAAGCAGAGGCAGAAAAGCAGTGTCAGAAGCAGAATGAGAGAAGCAAAGGCAGGAAACAGAGTAAAGCAGACGGAGAGAAGTGCAGACCTGCTATCTCCTGGAGCTGGAGTTCGCCGAACATCTGCCAGTAGGGTGTGAGGAGGACCTGCTCCATGATGGCGCCGAGGGCGGAGGAGTTGAGGTGGAGAGCGTCCCTGGCCGGATGCATCAGCGCCTGCGACGCTATCCCGAACCCCAGCAGGAAGATCACCAGCAGCGCCATGAACACCACCACCTCCGGGATCTGAACACATCATATTGAATACCGTCATAAACACCAGCACCTCCAGACTCGCTGTCGGCGCCATTGCTAGCAGGCCGCGCACGGTTATGTTCTCTGGAAACCTAAGATCTCAGCAGTCATCATCTCAAATCGTCGCAGTTTTTTTAGGAAGAGCCAATCAATACTCCAAGACCTAGAGAATATCTTGTTTGGAAGGAAACAATACCGATTTTGTCTACAATTGATGGACAAACAACGTTGTTGATTAGCTCATATACTGCTGACTGATATTCTGCACACCTCAATATACAGGCGACCCAAACTGTCGTACTGCAACTATCACCCCATGACCGATTATTATTATTTTTTGTTTGTTTGTGAGGATCATCGTATCTCTGACCAGGTCAATTTGAGTCCTACCCTGAAGGGCGAGGCGATACCCTTCAATCAGTGCCATAATGGGGCACCTTAGAAGGTGTATTGAGCCTGACAAGGAAAGGTAGACCACACCGCCTAAATAGGTATTAGGTTTCCCTGATTCCACCTGGGGGAAATCCAATACGTCATGGGGAAGTCAAAGAGAAAGAGGTAATGGAGGCAGCTTTTAGACAAAGAGGGACAGCGGGCCGAAGTGCAGCAGGCACCGAAGAAAACTGCTAGCGAGGCTACACCAAGTGCTTCTACCAGCAATACACTAGAAATAATGGAACTTGCGAAGACAGTACCAGTCACACACCAGCCAGTGTCAGACAATGTACCATTCTCAAGAACCCAGATATAGGGCAACATTATGAGACAAGAGAGGACACCACCAGTCTCACAGCAGGGATCGTCACATTCTGCCCATCTTTCAAAAATCAAGATAATGCAGACAGACCACTTTCCTACAGCATATGGAAAAGTGACGGAAATGGAAAAGGAACAACCAGAGCTCAAACTTTCTATCACAGTCAACCTGAAAGAAGAAATTATAATGACACCACGAGACTAACTGACTGAAAATAACTTAGAAAAAATAACAGTCCTGCAAGGGAAATCTATATGATTGGAAAGCTGGGCCTCTCAGAAAGACAAACATCAGTCGTGCTTTCGGGTTACCCCAGTCAACTTTCCACTGGTTCCAATACTAAAACACAAGCAAATCCTGAATGCAGAACGATCCCGCACAAAAGTAGACAAAGCAGTGACACGTCAGGTTCTGGTGACCGTCATGGGACATGTACCAGAAACATTCAATCTTGGAATTAGGGGAATATACCGGCAGAGACCATACGTCCCGGAACCCCTGCGCTGCTTCAGGTGTCAGAAATACGGCCACCATCAATTACGCAGCACCGGTCAGGAGAGAAGTGTGCAGCCCAAGACATCCAACCAGAGACAGTATGGCCAAGCACAAGGACAATGAGACTATAACAGCCAAATGTCCATATCGTGGGGGCAAACATTTTGCCTGTAGCACAACCTGCTCTGCACGGAAACAAAAGTGAAGAGAGCTCAGGCCAGGATTATCACGCAGACCAGCACTACATACACCAACACCAACGTCTGGAACACTCGTACACAGCAGAGACCCACTCTCAATGAGCAAAATTTCCCGAATCTACTAACTCCTAAACAGAAAATATACAAAAACTGCAGAAATGCAACAAAAGCAAAATCGCAGAAAGCAATCACTTACGAAATGAACACAAGAAATTTCCAGTTTTAGCGAGGTCCAGCTGAAAAACACCGTGAAAATCCCGGCAGAGACCATTATCAATTGCCTACAGATGACGTAGAACGACTCACAACAACAGACTCAAGAAATCACTTGTGTAATAATTGATAAGATCGTGCAGCAGACCACATTTACACAAGAAATAGACAGTTTGAGAAAGGACGAAGCACAAGAGGACAAACAACGCGACATGGAGATACAGACTACCAACAACAGTCGAGTAGTCAAGACACCAGACTTTCAAGATTCACTAAAGCACCTGCAAGATGCAGTGGCGACACAAAATCAACGAAATCTTACAACACACGAGACAGATATCAACAGGGAATTCAGTCTGATTTGCAACAACACCAATAAAAAAGTTTTGATCAGCAGAGATGCGCAGATTTCAACAACACAAGAGGCGGGCATGAGCAATAAATGAAGCCCGATATATAGCAACATCAACAACGAAATACTGGATGACAGAGATGTACAGAATCCGGCAACAAAAGAAACGGCAATGAGCAATCAATGCAGTCCGATGTGCAGCAATACCAACAGCAAAGTGATGGACAAAAGAGATGACCAGATTCCAACCATGCAGGGAATGACCATGAGCAATCAGTGCAGTCTGATTTGCAGCGACACGACTTGCGACGTGGAGAATACAGAGATTGATTCCGAAGAGGAGTTCTACTGTGACAGGCATTACCAACCGAAACCATCATCTGGTCATTACGAATACTGCACTGGAACATACAAGATCTTGGAAATATAAACCACAACATTTAGGAAGCTGCAATTAGTACGACAACAGATATAATTGTTTTGGAAGAAACTATTTTTCCAGCCACGATGTCCTTCAGATTAGCTGGATATCAGCAATATATTATTCCGTATGAACAGCGGAGACAACACGAGTTAATGCCCCTAAACAGAAACACCAAACCCAGCAAGAAAATAGTCCCAGTTTCATGTGGGGATGGAGTAGAGGCATTAACAGTAACAGAAAATATAGCTAATATTGAGCTCCTCATATTCAATGTCTACAAGCCCCCTAGGCGTAAACTAGATGCAGAGAAAGTGCTTGCCTTGGCAACACACGTAAATGGAATTATTGCTGGGGATTTTGATACTCATCATCAAGAGTTAGGTGCGATTGGGCCAGCTGGTGCATATGGGCGCCATTTAGCTGCATCTCTGCTAGAAATAACTGAAATTTCACTTCTTAATACTGGGGAACCCACAAACATTCTAAGGGGTTCCTGTGATGTTACATTAATCTCAACAGCACTCAAACATCAGGCGAAGTGGGAGGTAGACCCGGTGATCACCAGTGGCCACTATGCTACTGTCACAACACTAAACGTAGAACGACTTCCCACACCTGCATAACCTAGGTTGAATTTAAAAATGGCCAACTGGAATATATACCAAGAGGAACTTGAAAAAGGGTTTGCGACATACACGCCTCCTGAAGACTTGAACATACACGACACTAATCTCCAGAAAGTCATTGCAGCTGCTGCAAACAAAGCCATTCTAGTCATTTCCCAGGAAACGAAAAACGAAAGAACTATTGGTTCTATAGTAATGAAGTTAAAGAACGAAACCTGAGTCAACATCTTCAGAAAACATTTGAAGAGAAACCCCACACCAGAAGGAAGACCTCTGCTAAGGGCAGTGATATCTGAAGCAAGACGAGTTTCCAAAGAGGTAAAGAAGGCAAGATAGTTTGAGTGGTGTCAAACTCTGAATGAACATTGTAGTAGTGGCAAAATATGGGGCCAGATTATAATCATAACGGGTCGACCAGTCCGACCACAGGCATGTATTCAACCATTGCAGGAGGATGAGAAACTTGCTCTCCAATTTGCTGAAAGAACAGCTTCATATCAGCTTCCTGTATTGGTCAGAAGGCCGCAGAAACAATTAAAACAAGAAAGGTTGCCAGCAATTCATGAGAGAATAGTTACAAATAATGAATGTGATTGTCCTTTCACCTAACAAGAACTAATCAGAGCCAAAAAAGGTGATAAAGACACTGTAACAGGTGCTGATAACATTGCATACTCAATGATCGCACTGCAGATTCTGCTGGAGATCTAGGGATATTGGACGATATTAATGCATCTTGGCAGCAAGACAAACTGTTGACCTCTTGGAAGAAAGCAGACATCATTCCGATTCCAAAGCTGAAAGAACCAGGCAATTACAGGCCCATTTCATTAACATCATGCATCAGTAAAACTGTAGAACGGATGGCCTTATAGGCTCCTGAGGAAGACTGGAAACCTGCATAAGCACACATTTGGCTTCACTAGAAGAGTACGTACTGCCAACTGTATGGCAACTTTACTAGGAACAGCTAACGCAGGTCTGGCAATACTGACCTTCATTGATCTAGAAAAAGCATTCGAACTTGCAAGCCTGCAGGCAATTTGACACCCCTAGAAGCCCTTTACGCTAGGGGCCTGACGGCTGAGTGAACAGCGCTCAAGATTCGTAGTCCTAAGGGTCCGGGTTCGATCCTCGGTAGAGGCAGAAAGAAATGGGAAGAGTTTCTTTCACCCTTATGCCCCTGTTGAAAAAAAAACAGTTGATTGACAGTTGAGAGGCCCAAAGAGCCAGAGCTCAACCCCCACAAGCACAACTAGGTGAGTACCTTAGTTAAAAAAGACGAAGGCAAAATATGCTAGCATGGAATCAAGATTAAGTTAGTCACAAGTATGACAGAGTAAAGCTGCAAGAACAAGCATCGGACTACCACTTGCACGAGAATGGGACTCCACAAGGAGGAGTCCTCAGTCCTAGTCTTTTTAACATCCTTATGGAAAACCTCGTTACCATGACATTTGCAGAGGGGGTTAAATTGCTAAGTTATGCTGATGATATAGCATTAGTCATCACAGGCCCTTCACTTTTAAATAAAGAACATATGGCGCTAGATAAAGTAACATCTGAATTCAGTATTTCAGGGATAGAAATATCTGACCAGAAGTCTAAGGAAATGAGACTAGGTTGCAGCACTCCAGACAGGCACCTACGCATTCAAGACATTAACCTTCAGTGGGTTACACAATATCAATATCTCGAAGTGAGAGTAGATTGTAAAATGACATTCAACAAACAAAATCAATATCTGAAGGAGGAAGCAAAATCACGACTGATTATAATGAGAGCAATCACAGGACCCCATCGAGGAGCTGGACACAAACTGTTCAGGAAATTTTACCAATACGCCGTTTGTTCCCTGGTTGATTATGCAGCGCCTGCCTTACTCACTCTTTCTCTGGGCCAGTGGGGAAACATTGAGGTTATT